CCGAGATAATTATGTCATTAATTCAGAAAAACAGAGCAGAATTTTTTTTTCTCAAGTGAACGCATTACGCTTCCGTATCATTGAGTACTAACTTGTGTAAATTTAAATATAAACTTAAATAACAAAAACACAACTTGTAAACAACTTAAACTTATAAACAATAAAAATAGCAGCATCAGAATCTCTTTAGCAGCAAACTCCTTCAGCTCCCAAGCTCACCAGCCTGCTGCAGATATCACACCTGGCTTTTCCTGGTGTTGGATTGGTGAAATGCTGCCATACAGGATCAGATTTCTGTTCAGCCATCAGACAGCAATTACTAAAACAGAAGAAAAAATGCAAGGTTTGCATTTTTATTATAGTGCCTTCATCTTCAATTCATTCTACAATTCCAGTATTACATGCACATTAAAACAATTACACTCTAATACATTTTGAAAGAAAAAAAAACACTATTAACTAAGTGCATCATGGTATGATGAGTTGTGTACAAGGCCCAAAACCTTTCACTAACATGTTTATGTTATTAGCAGACAGATAGCTTACAAGCCAAACTCACAATCAGAATCTAGCGATCGCGGAAAATAAAATAACTTTGTCATATTACACAGCCTTGTATGCAAGGACAACATGAGCCCCTAGTGATTGCAACGTTGTCGACATATAAGCCTGTATAAAAGATAGACATGTTTAATGAGGAAACTAACTGTGCAAAGTTGTGCACTTTTTTATTTAGACGTCTGACAAATTGTTCGAATCTCCGCTCTCAAATGCAAAAAAGTTGCACAGAAGGACCATTGTCAGCATCAGCTCAAGTGAATGGTAACCACGCTTTCGAACAAACAGTATTCTCCGCCATGCATTGTTCTTAGCAGCTCTGTGTCTACAAGGATGGCGCTGTCTGTAATCGGGGCAAAGTAACGCAACTCTCACACACTCTCCGAGTGAAACTCTCCGACACAAGAAAAAAAAAACAGAACTGATAACATTAGGCTGATATCATAATAATTAAAATGTTAACAATTAAAATGATTTTTTACGATTAAAAAAATGTCTGTGAGCCCAACAACAAGTGCACAAAACTCTGTCAGAATCAATGATCCTTACCTTTACCTGTAAGCTACAGTTGGTCGAAGGCTCATTATCATTATGCCAGTTCCCGACAGCGTAATTCGCACTCTCTTTCAGAAGCGCTCGCATTTTCTTTTAAAGCAAGATTTCATAGCAAACCAGTTAAATAAACAGGTCATTGAAAGAACATAATTTTAGTCTTACCGTTTTCTCCCAGGACTCTTCCAAAACTTCTGGCTGGGGTCCTACACAAGGCAACCTGGGTCACGTGTTCCACAGCAACAATAACACTGGGCTGCCCGCAGACGTGTCTGTCTGTAAATCG